ATGTTGGCAGAGAAATGACAGTTGGCAGATGTGTGCTTCAGCACCCCTCCCCTGAGCGCAGTAAGCACCTTGTGTGTAGAACATTCCTTTCCAATCTCCCCTTCACAACATGCTGTCAGAGACTATTTTAGACTGCTCTGCTCTTCAGACAGTTGGGTAGGGCCGGCTGGGTCTGAGGGTTTTCAATTGGTTGATACATTTATGGAGATAATTTGATCTGAATACATTACACATACAATACAACCTTTCCCATCAGCTACCGAAAGTCTGACCCTCCACATTTGTACATGTTATCCTCCCCAAGACCTAAAATAAAGCTCAAGATTCAAAAGTCTTGATTTTAACCAAGTGACTGTGGAAAAACATCAAAAACAAGTGTTCTGATCCATTTGATCCACAACTGTTAAAAAAAAAAAAAAAAAAAAAGTTTTCAGTTTAGAGAGACAAGAAACGAATGGCATAGGGACACAAGCAAGGAATGCAACTATCCCTTCCAGGAATGACGGACTTTCAATTCTACATAAAGGCAAATATTCAGTGCTTTGTTACATGATGTCCATTAAAAAGATTATATTTTTTACCGCTGTCCATTTGTTGGTTTGTTGGCTGGTTTGTTATGTAAGAAAGATTATGAAAAAACCACTGAACAGATTACCACACACTTGGGAGGAAGACAACATATAAATCAGTGAAGAATCCAATAAACTTTGGAGGGATCCAGATCAGGAATCTTTTATCACTTTCATGTTACATTGCAAGATAGACATTTTTGACATGTTCACTGTTTTCCCAAAGAATGATTCATGGATATTGATGGAAATCAGATGCGTTTAGGGGACTCATATCAATGAGTGTGTGAAATTTTGTGGAGCTTGATTGAATTTAAGGGGACTGTCGGGCCTTAGTGGAGGTATGAGCTGTACTGAGTGACATTCTAGTTAGAGGTATGTATGAGTTGGAATGATTGTAATGAGATTTACTGAGCATTCATGCTTCCCAGAGGATGGACTCTCTCAGTTCTCGACAGTTTATAATCTTTCTTCAACAACGCAGATCAGAAGACTGAAAGCAACAGTTTGACGTTTTGGGATAAGTGCTTATTCCCTTTGTAACTCACAGTTAAATGAGTAGTATCATAACATACTCTTGTCTTACACTAATTATAAAGCACCAGCAACTAATTAACTGAGATTAAAATGAAGACTGGATAGAGAGGTAAATGAAAAGCCTGGCTCCATCCAAAAGTAAAATAATCTGCCGACTTTCTGTCTACTGGAGTCCAGTAACATAACAAGACACCAGGAGAAAGAAAAATGAGTCAGGTACATAACGCCCCGTCCTCTTCTGTCTGGATTTAACAAACATGAGATGTAGAGCTGCTGGTTTGTGGATTTTGTTGTTTTAAATTGTCATGCGACCTTTTATACAAGTATATAGACATTTTAACCTCAAGTCTTACGGTTATATAGTTTTTTCTATCCAACATGTTTGTATTGTGCTGTGTAATTAACATGCAGAGGGTCTTTAGACCACTGGATATTGGGAATGAGATGATAGTGTTGGAGAATATGACAAGGACTGCAGCTTTAGCAGAAGATGGGTTTATGGCAATGATGCAAAGTCCTGAGAAAACAAAGTGTTGAGAAAAGCTTGGCTGACTACCACAACCCAATAATGGAGCATGGTGAAAGAGAGGAGCTGCACATAAATCATGATGAGGCTTCTTGTTTTGCCGAAGCCAAAGAGAAAACAGCATCATGTTGGAAGATGGGCTTAATGACAGTCATAAAACTGTGACAGAGTGGTAACATACTTATACTTCACATAGCAACACTCCCATATTCTGGAATTCTGTGGTTTTTGTTGCATAAGACTACAACTTGACTGCAAATGTCTCTTCAAGGTCAAACTGTGTTTGATAAGATTTGAATATTCTATCCGTGATCAGATCAGCTGTATTTCTTAAATCCTTATTCAACCAGGAAAAAAAAGATTTTCTGCCCTAATGTTTCTCAATCGTGTGTCTGTCATACAGTGGATATGTGAGTCACAGACCCTCAGACAGCGAGGACACGCACACATATTGTAAGGAGGGTAGAATTTAGACTAGACCCTGATGTTCAGAAACATATGCAGTAAAATACATGTGATGCTTGATCAGACAGTTTCTATGAAATGCTGTTCCTCTGATATCCTCTCAGAAATCCAACGCGTTTATTATTTTTTCAAATGGCCACATTTGAAGGCAGGACTGAAAAACACTGATGGTCATAGATAATGAAAGAAGCAGTATGTCAATGCTAAATTGTGCACAGTCTCTAATTACAGGCATTTATATGGTTGCCCTGGGTTGTTCACGAGAAAAGTCACAATTAGTTGTGGAAAAAAAAGAACTGGAGAGAGAAGTTCAAACACTTTCTCCTCACTCAGCTCCACAGAAAAATGATAGAATGTCAAAAACCTGACCCAGAATCAGGGATCTCGACAAATTATAATCTCAAACTCTCAGTTTTCCATTGCATAGTCGTCAAAATGTTATACTCACCGATGGATGATTATTATCCCTGTTTTTTATGGGAGATGTAGTGGACTTGTCCTCCAAAGCCGTTACCAGTGAACTCTATCAACTGGTAACTCAGCAATGTCTCATGCACATCCACACTTTATTTGCTCTAACAGAAAATCCTCTAACATTAGAAACCTGCAGATTTTAGCATGATGTTAGCAGGTAAACAGAATCTCATCAGGTATTAAAGTAGATATACACATTTATCTTATATATAGATGAACATGGACAGTAAATCCTAATTTCTACCCCTGCACACGCGACCCAGTTCAACGTTTCCTTTGTGTTCATTGTGATGTGTGATGTTTTGAGCTGAGCCTGTTCCTGCTCTGACTTAAATTAAAAAAGAAGTGCTGCATCCTCATGTCCAGGGCTGGACCCTCAGCTCAGGTGACAGTGGAGAGAGCAGTCTTAGTTTTTGATGCTGACAACAATGTCACAATGCAGATGTGCCTATTCATTTCTTCATCCAACAGATGAAGTTTAAAATCAGTAGAGCCTTTCGTTAAGTACTAAAACATGTGTGGTAAGAGACACCAGTTACATTGAGTATATTGTTGCTAACATACAGTTCTATATGATGTGTTTTCCTCTTTGTGGTGGTGTGTGAGCATACCTCCCCTGACCTCGGCTCTGACCTGGTGATTCTTCTGTTGAGGCATGCGGCGCAGCACAGCTCCCCTCCCTGCAGCATCTCCTCCCTCCTTCCTTCCGTGCGGCTGGACAGGGTGGGCTCCCCCTCCCCCCCACTCCCACCCCCTTCCTCTCTCTTGTTTTACAGTATAACGTGCTTGTTAGTCTGACAGTGTTCATCTAGTGTGCAGCCTACATGAGGTTCCCTCATCCACATCTCTTCACGTCTTTGTTCATCATGTCCATCTGCGCCGTGAAGTGAATATGCACAACAGTAGTTCTACCTGATGACTGTTTGCATGTTTTGCTCTCTCACTCAGGACTGTGGCCCCCTCCTGCAGGCCAGTTGCCTGATAAGGCGTGTTTAGATTCCACAGTAAGCACACCCATTCAAGAGCCCTTCTTTCACTTGGGTGTCACCATTTGGCCTCAGTGACACACCACTGCGGATTCGAATGCTTACAGCTGTGGACAGCACAGGCTCATAGTTGTTGGTATCATACTCTGCAGACGGCGTAGAGGATGTGTTTCATATACAGTATGTGCAGTAGATTCCCAGGTGGCATATGGATGTGGGCCACTTCAGGCAATGATGCATCTCTTGTGGCCTGGACAAAATTGACGTGAGCCTAAATTGGTTTCACACAAAGGAGAAAATCCCTTAGTGACAAAATAAAGCAATCATGGAAGAAAGTTAAGGAAGTTCCAATACATCATATTTTATTTATAAAACACGAGGATCTGACATGACAACTGAATAGTGTTTATAGAAGAGAGACATCGATTTTTTAAAGCAGGGAGATCGCTATTAAATTGTAATGTTTCACTACAAACAAATAACATGCTGCCAATAAAATATTTAATTTTCCTGTGAAGTAAAGGAGGAATAAGAGGAACAAGATGCATTTATGACATTTAGAGCTTTATACAGCTTGGTGATAAGATAAGATGGCATCATGGACCATGATCCTGTGGGCCGCTAATCGTGGATTGCATTATTTTCTCCTGTTTTTGGTAGTTTTTCCTCAATTAATTAACAAAAACTATAAACAACAAACATCAGATTCATTGATGCAGATGTTTTGAAGGAGGATTTACTGTCCTGCAGACCTGTAGCTGACACTGTATTGAACGAGGCTGATTTGTAAAGGGTGGACTGTGTGGGGATCTGTTCAGATGGGACTCAGACAATTGCTGAGAAATGACAAGGGCTGCAAGTTTTCTTCCACAAGGTACAGTGGTCACACTGTACATGATACAGCATGATGTGCTGAGGCCTTAGCTGAGCGATGTCACCGTTCTTTCCACTGTGAAATGGGATGCAATCACAGAGTTGTTTGTTTCACAGTGAGTCCTGATGGCTGCCATGTGTGAAGGTTAGATCCAGGGTGTTTGATGGGTGAGGGTGAGATCAGATTCCAATTGAGGGAAGAGGGTAATGAAGATGTCAACAGTAATAACTTCCTCATAAAACTTCCTCACCATATTTTTATAAAGAAAAGGCACTAGTACACCGCCCACAGCTGGGAGATAAAATCACATCATTCATAAGAAAAGTGGAGATGTGGGAGAAAGCAAGTGAAAGAGAATAAAGACTCATTGGAGAGACTCATTTATCAAGGTCTACAAGCTGTTGCACCAGAACAGTTCCCAGTGCAGGACTCTGTGAAATATGAATCTATCTTAGACACCAGCTGCTGACAGTTTATTCATGTCTGAGTCAATGAGGCTGCCACTGTCTTCTTTAAACACTGTAATGATCAAAACACTAATATTGAATCTTTCTTTTCTTTTTATCCAGATTACAACTTTCCTGAGACAAAGAGCTTAGCACACACCCTTGGTTTCAGCTCCAGATCCATGATACACACACCCAGCCGCATCATGGCCGTGAGTACCACCGCCAGGAGCCGCACAAGACACATATGTTGTCACTCTCACATAAACCTATACTTTACACCTTTAATGTATAAACACATGTGAGTGAGTAAGGGGTAGCGCATCTTCTGAGGCAGGCTGTAGCGTATTAATTCTGCTGTGGAGATCAAGTGTTCTTGGTTGAAGCACATCGACACCAGCGAGGGTCCTTTTCGCCATCTTGAAATCTGTTCCCTGGTGTCCTCTATGTGTATGGCACCACTTTTTCATTCTGAGATATTCGCTCTGTTTTTGTTTTTTGCGTCGGTCTCATGTAAGAAACACCATCAACATTCCCATCGCTCGTGGTGAATCCTGGAGAGGATCTCCTTTCTCACATCCGCTCCTCCGGACATTCTGCTGACTTTGTACTAGCACACTGGCCAGAGAAAGTCTGCAGTATGTCCGGACGCTCTCACTCGGACATTTGCGTTCACACATACAGCCCCTCCAAAGAAAGTCTGTAGGATATCCGAAAATTCAGTGCATGTCATAAAGCAGCTTATGTGACACCACAATACGGAGCTTATTAACAGAGCTCTGTGCGGAGTAAAAGTACAAGTGTTATGTAATTATTTTTTTTAACTGAGTTTTATCTTGCAGTCAGAGACAGTACCATAGATTATATAGAAACATGGACAACGTGACAGCTCGCAAAATATTCTGATTATCCCCTGGTGGCTGGCTACCTTGTAGGTCCCAAGCCCTGTCTCCACCATGTCAGTGGATGGTAGAGGTGGTAGCTATCCAAACAATAGACGTTTGGCTGTGATGGACTGTAGCAGGGATGTGCTTTATAAGTAATCAATTATCATTAATTGAGAAAAAAAATTAATCTGCTTTATTACATTTCTGTCTCATCATTATAGTTTGGGTCAGTATTTCTAAGAGGAATATAAACATTGTTCAATATTGAGATTAGGTTCCTAACCAGGATCTCTAGTTTGCTTAATGAATTGCTTAATTGACAGATTTTTGTTTAATTCAGTTTAACTGTTAAGTTGTAGTATGTGTAAAAGATTGGCAATTTCAAACTTACACACACACAGATAATGTTTCCTCTCTTGTCTGATTGTCTGTGAGTCAGTAAGTAGGAAAACAGGGGCTGACCGAACAGAACAATGTGGAGGCAGACAAAAAATGTAAACAGGACATTTCCCTGTTGCTGCTGCATTTAACTCTCCAGTCTAACAATGCAAAGGCATCAGAGAACTTCCTGCAGTTTACAGTAAAGACACTTCAGTTAAGGAGAGCAGGAAGAGCTACTGATTTCAGAAATTTGTGTATGCTGAACAGTTTTACTCACCTGAAGCGTGGTACCCTACAAACTGTTCAGAAAATAAGACACTATAGAGATTTATTTCTCCTTGTCCGTACTGTTAGGGCTTCTGTATAACTATACAACTTTTACTAAATTGAGAAATGTCCAAATTATTTTTTTTAATATCAGAAATTCAGACAAAATAGTATTTATCTTTTTCTGCTGCAGTGTGTTTGCTAACCTTTTCCATATACCCACACCCCCCACCCTGCAGGTTCCCACTGGGCCCCTTCCCTCCTCTCGCTCTGCTTTGGAAACGGGTTCCAGGGTGAGCCACAAAGGAAGCAGCATGGTACAGAGCAACTTCCAGACTGTGCAGGCACACACCAGAAGCAGGCGGTCCAAGTCACTGTGTCAGGCTGACCAGGAGAGGTTACCTCTCATTGTGGTGGCTCCTCCAGAGCCTGTCTCTTTCCCAGTCTCTGTGGATCCCCCATACTCCCTCCGGCGCAGCCTCAGTGGGATATTAGCTCAGGAAAGAGCCCAGTGGCCAGAGGAGCTGCCGCATCAGTCCTCCTACAAAGGCCCCTCCCACCGCACCATCAGCCGCATCACTAACCGAGGGCAGCACTACCAGCAGCAGGGCTATGGCTTGGAGAGGGAGTGCTGGTCGGGGACTGGCAGGGGGTTCCCCATGGTAGGGGATGGCTGGGGAACACAGTGGCAGCAGCATGTGTCCCGGACCAACCATTCGATGGGTACAGGGCAGTACCAAGCCCAACTGAAACGCACTTCCTCGGTCCGCAGTGTAAGAAGCGTTGGGAAAGGAGTGGATGTCTTGGATGGAGCATCAATACACAGCAACGACCCCCTGGCAGAGTCAGACATATTATCCATTCATTTACACAGCTAAGACAACTAGCTTAATTTGTAGCTTAGTCAGATGATTAATTATTAATGTCATTGTGTAGCTGGAATGTGACACCATTATTGTGTGTGTGTGTGTGTGTAGGATGCAGGGTCTGGACATGGCTACAGCTGTCAGATATCTGTCTGAATCAGACACGGCCCTGCAAGTTCTGGGAGCTGCATACATACAACACCAGTGTTACCATAGCAACGAGGCAAAAAAACAGGTAACATGCTTGTACACGGTTTTATTTGGTTATTTGCTGATTGTCCATATGTTTGCATTTTAGGGGGGAAATATTTTGACATGATGATGAAGCAGGGAGTGAAGCAGTGTGCAAAATATGCAGTGGCAATTGAGGGTCCCCCCAACCCATTGACTTTGCTGTAACAATGAAAAAAACACAGCGTTGCATCATAATCTGCGGGAAAGCTTCTCTTCTGTGTGTGTGTGTGTGTGTGTGTGTGTGTGTCTGTGAGTAAGTTATATTGAATGGGTTGGGAAGTGTTCGACACACACACACAAAGTACCCAAAAACTTGCCAGTGTCGCTGTCTGCATCACACTGCAGCATGTACAGCACATTCCCCAGAGGAACATCAAGAATGGTTTGCCTTATAAAGAAGATTGAGAATCTCGCAATAAGAAATATGCAAGATAATAGTGTTTTGTACCTTTAGTGTGAGTATTTTTCACTGCTGTGCTGGAGACCCCCAGTGTATCAGACTGTCCCCACCTGGGCCTCCAGCAACACAGGAAACTCAGAGGGAAACAGGCAGGGTGGGTCAGCAAAGTCCACCGCCCTCCTATTTTTTACAGTACTTTTGTTCTCAGTCCAGCAGTTTTTTTGGTCAGCACAGCTTTTGAATGCACAAGATCCAAGAGGATAGGACATTGAAGGTATTGTGCTTTTTCCCAGACAGTGAGGAGGTGCATTTTAACCAAGAGTCAGTGTTAAATAGTCCCATTCTGTACATTTAATGGGTTATATGTGTTTTGAATGTAGTTTTATATTGAATGGGTCATTACAAATGTGGTTTTTACAAACTTGGTGGGGATCAAAAACACATCTATCTTTCTTTGCACCCTGCGACCGAAAGCTTATTAAGATTGAAAAATGATTCACGATCATACAGGATATAAAATCTTCTGTATCTTTGGACTGCAAGATTAAAGTCAATAAAGTAATTACATTAAACTTGTACTTCTTCCTGTTGAAAAGCTACATACACTCTATAAAACATCAAAACAAACAATTATTAAGTTGTTGTGTTCCCCCTCCTCCCTGTCTTTGACTTAAGCTTCAATGAACTTGTCCCAAACCTAACTTAACTGAACCACACTGATCCTCCAGGAATTACATCATCATGACATCAGAAAATGACATCATGACAGCGTTGTAATGCATTGAGCTTTGCATCCAATACGATCTTAGACACATTCTACAAAGTACTGAACCAAGCATACGGTGTTAATTACATCATGATGGCCTTATTATGAAATAGCGTTATTACAATATAAAGAAGTTTACTGATTGGGCTGTATACAGTGATTGTGCAGGGTGATTGTTGCATCACCACTGCGCCATGTATTATTGAAGAAAGTTTGATGATTCTATTCTGCTTTGATTTTATTTTGATGATTTGTTTCATTAGTTAGAGAGGGGGATGTGTGTCCAATGAGGTGAAGTGAGTCTGGCTGTCAGTATTTTAGTGCCTGATGTTGCCAGTGCAGAGTGAGAGGTTATAATCTCCTCACATGATAAGAGAGAAGAATATATTCCACTTTATTATGTCATGGTGTATTTGTAAGTAAAAGTTTATGTTGTGAGTTTGTGGTCTGAATTCCTCTAATACTCTTGTCTAGCAGAGAGTTGGTATCCTTGTGTGTTTTCTCAGTGAAGTGTGAAATTCTGCTGTGATGCCAGCTGTGCTGCTTCATTTCTTCTTTTATCCAAAGGATGAACGACTTTCCCAGAAGCCCATTTGTGTTTTTTGTGAAGTGTGTCGAAAGTGTCCAGTTATGTAGTTGTTGTTCTAGTTCGAGAAGTAGCCTCCTTTTTAGACAGTTTGAGTAACTCCAGGCTGTAGAGAAATTCCTCTGTGTCAGCTCCATGTTCCGAGGGGAATACATGAAAAAAACATTATTCGAAGGTGTGATTTATTTGTTGTTGGACGATTTCTCCTCTATGGCTGGAAATGTTATTTCTTTTTTACCTCTGAATTTAAATATGGCCTCATAAGCGAACTGTTTGGTGGAGGTATGTACTCTACTTAGTGACTGTTGTGGCAAATCTGCTGATCAATGGTCAACTCATCAATATAGAAAGTGTTCAGGAGCCCTTTGACATCTTATGTTGAAATATTCATTGAAGCTTGGCCAATAAGAAAATCCGAATTCATCCACACAACATCTGTGCAGGATGCTCTCTCATATTCTGAAGTCTGCTGTCCTGCAGTCACACTTTAAACCCCAACAGATCATTTAATCTATGGCTGTGCTAGTTCCTAAACAACCCTAAACATGTATTTTTCATGTATAGTTCTGGAGACAGTAGTGCCTGCTTACGCAGTCTCATATCTGTGATGTCTAGGGAGTGAAGGCTTTGACCTTCGACAAGCTCTCGCACTTCCCAAACACAACAGCCTTTTGCACTACGCCCCAGAGAGGACAAGAGACAGTGTCTATGAAAATTCCCGAACACTGACATTCTAGTTTGTACTGTATTTGAATTGTTGAGTACATTCTGTTGTTGAATGTTTTTTTTTTGCATATATGTAGTATATCTAATGGGATGGGGTGTTGTCTTCTTTTGGTTTAAATGTATTGCTTTTGTAAAGTTCCTCTTTTGTGCTATTGATTTTTCTATTTGAGAAGTATATTGTTTTCCCTGTGTCTACCATTTACCAGTTATCTGTCAGGCAATGTTCATTTCAATGACTAATGCTGTTCGTGTGAAAAGCAACAAAAGCTGGTTGTTATAATGTGTTGAAACAGAAGGGCTGTAAAGAGGCTCAGTCTTTACAATCAGCGAGACAGGTGCCTTATCGCAGATCATTATTGGGTGTGTTGTTGTTTCCCATGTATCTGTTAGTGTTACTAGTTCAGAACAAGTCTATCTGGTGAAGGGGAGGAACATATTACAATGGGTGTCTCATTCTCTGACTATCACCAACGCCACATCTTTCTATCCACTGGTTTTATGTGCCAGTTAAATTCCTCTGATGTCACCTGATATACGACTGCACCAAAGTGTTTGTGCAATTAAATGTTAAGCGAAGACGCTTTCAAAAATAAAAGTAAAGTAAAAGTGGTGTGATGAGATATTGCCGTTATTACAGCACCAATTCTCCTATGTATACTTCACACAGTTTTTTATATTCTACACTATTTTTCAAGCTAGGTTGTTCCAAGCATCTTAGAGATGTTGATGAGGTGCAGACAGCTCTTTATGGCTCGTCGTGCTGCAGAATGAATATGGGATCAGATCAGTCAGTTCCCTGATGGTGTTATGTGATGGATGAAAATCTAAAGTACCTTTGCACAGTACTGCACCAAGTTTCACCCACTTAGAAAGATGTAATTTAAATAGACAGAGTACATTCTGACAAAGATGTATGTGTCTGTGTGATTGTTTCAAGTAGCACAACCACTTCATCACACATGTACTCAAAGTATTCAATGTACTCTTTGTTTATTTACAGTATGTGGTGTGGTTCTGATTTGCTCTCTTAAAGGTGCGTGCGCTGTACGGCATTCCGGCTCTGGTTCAGCTTTTCACCAGTGACAACCAGGAAGTGCAGCGTTACGCCACTGGCGCCACGCGGAACCTCATCTACGAGAACTCTGACAACAAGGTGGCACTGATAGATGCCGGCGGTTTGACGCATCTCGTCAGCATCCTTCGCGAACCTGACGAGGAGCTTCGAAAGATCATCACAGGTAGAAACGGTCTCCTGGCTTCACACTGGTTTGAATGATATGATGTTTATTAATCTGTAATATGTCATAGGAGCCCGATTTACCTTTCTCTAAAGTTGACTGTGTATGTTAGTGTGTGTATAAAATGTGCTGTGGCTGCAGGCGTCCTGTGGAATCTGTCCTCCAGAGACAACCTGAAGGAGAAGCTGTCTAAAGAAGCTTTACCAGAGCTGACGGACACAGTTCTGATTCCACTGTGCAACAGTCTTCCACTGAGTCCATCTGAGAGAGACATCTTCTACAACACCACCGGCTGCCTCAGGTGACTCCATACGAGTTAAATCTGGACGTGACGATGGCACTAGATAAATAGTCAGAGAAATACCTAAGTGATTTTGAATCCCTCTGCAGTCTGGCAGGGAAAAGTGTCATTCTCTGGATTTGCATTTTCCCTCCATAGATTTGCATTTGAAGATACTCTGAGCTCATTTGAGGGGACTCAGACGTTTTTTGCTAGATACAGTTGAATTAGCCATGAATCTTTTCTGCTATTGCTGTGGAGCCAAAGAATTGAACCAGTGTTAATAATAGGGACAGAACCTGGTTGTTGCTTTGGAAACCCTCACCTGCATGTTTAATTGAACCAAGTCTTTATAAGTTGAAACACATGACTCAGCAAACTGTAAATCTTGCATGTCAATGTAAAGTTTGGTCATGATCCTATCAGAAACCTGATTCTTTGTTTCTTATGGAACTGAATTGACCTTGTAAGGTATGTTTGAGTCCTGAGGAGTTTCTCACCACAGATAGAATTCCATCAAAGTGCAGAAATCCCATAAAGGTCCAACTTAAGAGATTCAAGAGAGATCAGAGATGCATTTTTGTCAGACAGCTTTACTGCATTCTGATAGCCTAGTCTGGATTTAAATTGCTCCGTGTGTGTGTGTGTGTGTAGGAACTTGAGCTCAGTGAATGAGAGGACAAGACAGAAGATGAGAGACATGCGAGGTCTGGTGGACTCTCTGGTGTCCTACATCACACAAGAGGACATGACTGAGGACAAGGTAACAGCCTGGGACATTTTTCTAATCTTCAATTAACGGTGTCTGATTTAAAGATTATTAAGTTTGACTATTACAGTTTATGTGATGTTTCTTGTAAATAACAAACAATTAGAATTTTAAAAGTCTTTGCCTTTAAGACAGTGCAGTTACAACAAAATTGACATTTGTTGCACATAGAACTATACTCAGTAACCCATAATGACAAAGTCAAATTGAGTGCGATTTGTGCTGAAATCTCATATTTACAAAAATATTCGGACCCGTTGCGGCTTCAGAATGGGTTGAGCCTTATTAAGGAAAATGCAAGCGTGCATTTAGCAGCTCAGAGCTTAATGCATTGACCTTTGCAAAAACATCACTGCACCCAAAAGTTCCAATAGTTTGTACTTAGTTTATTGATGAATCATAGATGTGTTTTAGTTGTATAGTGTTTATAGTACTGTAGTACTGTAGTATTACCTGCTACACTGGAGTTTCACTGGATGATTTACTTAGATAACTCTTTAACCAACTGGCAGATGACTGATAATCATGCAACTTCTGTGAAACATCAACATGAACTACTCCAGCACCTGACTGAACCAACATGTTGTAGGAGGAACTCAGTACTAATACTAGAAGTTAATGGTGGCTGCTCATATTTTATCTAAACCCAAAAATGTGATTGTGAATAAATCTGAGTGAAGCAAATAGATCATACTGAGTGATGCTGTTGTCAGCATTTGGACCTTCCCCTCCATGTTTTGCTGACAGGACCACTTTCATTCCTTGTCCTTCAGTTCCTCTGACAATTCTCAGCTAACCTCAGCAAAATCTGTGTGAACTGCAAACTGGCTGAGGAATCGATCTGATTGCTTTAGTTTTGTCCCAAATCTTGGTGATTACTCTCTCAAGTATTGAGATGGTTAAGTTTTCAATAAATAAATACAAACCAACTTTGCCAATTCAATTTTATTTTATTTGTGTCGTGCCAAATCATAATATACATTATCTCAAGACACTTTACATAGAAAATACCTTAAAATCGTTTTAATATAGAGAAACCCAACAGTTCCCAATTAAGCGTTATTAAGACAAACTAAGGACAACAGCTGTGCAACATGATCAGAATCTTGTATCCTGATAGAGGTCATTTCTATTGTTTCTCATCACTGCACATGTTCTCCACTGTGTGAATTAGTGTTGTTTCTTTGCAGATGTCAGTGGCAGTTTTATGGTTTCTGATCATCAGAGTAGTAGCTTCTACCCAGATTTGGAGTTAACATGTTTCATTATTAACTCGGTATAGTTGGTTAGTTATTTAACCTACATTTGCCTCCACTCTTTTTTGTCCAGGGTTTGGAGAATTCATTGTGTGTGATGAGGAATCTGTCGTACCAGCTGTACACCGAGCTTCCTTCTTCAGTGCGACACCGTCTGGAGGGCCCATCCAGAGCTTCTGCCTCCAGGGAAATTGACACCATGGGCTGCTTTACACTGTATAACAAAAAAAACTCAAAGGTAAAATTCATCACACTGATAAAATCACACTCCTGTCTCCAAATATTAAAACATCTGCCCATTCACTGAAAAATAAGTCCAGGTTATTCAGACATCCTTATGTAAAGATGCTTCTAAATGATTGTGTGTCATGTGAGGGATGCCTTGGATTGAGACACTCTACTACCCAACTGTCAGTTTTGTATTCTTTTATTTGGAATTGGATTAAATTCCGTTTACATATTTACCATAGAAAATAAATCTGGGAACACCACAGCTTTCTCAGTTTTTTCCTGGGTTGTGTCTCATGGTACATATCTGCATGATTAAGAACAAGTGAAAAACCAGTTTGTGAGACTTCATTAAGACGGAGCTGAAGCACAGCCTGATTGAAGGAGGAATAGGAAGAGTCACAATACCAACAATTAAGGACAATCACTGTGATCATCCTTGAAAAATGACTCCACTCACAATTACTAACACAATATATGAACATGAAAGATGAGCCAAGGATTATCTATGGAAACTGTGAGAAGATCATTGTATGAAGCCAAACTCTGTGAGCAAATGTATGGACTTAAATATCAATGTTTCATTACAGTTTAATTCGTCAAACATTTCTGTTACTTCTTCTTTTGGCCTGAGGAGGAGCAATAATTTTGACCAAGCTTGTCCAGTTCACATCCTAGCTGTTGCTGCTGTGCTCTTATTCACTGTGACATGTTCTTGATTATCTTGATGTTGATCTTTGCTGTGTATCATTATAGTTTTATTTGTGCTCACGTCAGTTTCTAGCCAGATAACCACTCTTGAACAGGCCCAATGTTGTTCAATCCACTGATCGTCTCAATGAAGGCTCAAGATACTGAAAACACAGTAAAGTCAGCTAATTTTTCACCACAGTTACTTTTTCCTTATTATTCCTTACCCAATATCCTGTTGTTGTTTTTTTAAAAGAAATCATCAAAACTATCCATCCAGTTTGTGTCCTGCTCTGGGTCACACTCTTAATAATACAATACATTCATTGTTTACATGTCAGGGGGTCAAGTCATTTTGCCACTGAGGACCTGCATGTATCCAGGTATAACCACCAGTCTTTAATGATGTAACCCATGTATCTGCATCATCACAATAAGATATTTAGACTTTTTCAACAGCAACTGTAATGTGTCATTTCTGTGCAAGTGATTTTAATAATATTCAATTCAATTCAATTTTATTTGTAAAGTGTCAAATCATATTATACATTATCTCAAGGCTCTTTACATAGAAGGTCAAGACCTTAAAATCATATTAATATAGAGAAACCCAACAGTTCCCACAATGAGCAGCACTTTGGAGACTGTGGAGGAAAAACTCCCTCATTAACAGAGAGAAACCTCTAGAACCAGACTCAATGTGGACGGTCATCTGCCTCGACCGGTTGGGGGAGCGAAGAAAAAGAGGAGGAGAGGACAGATTGGAGGAAAAGAGGGGAGAGAAGAGAGAGAGAGATAGTGGGGAGGGGAGAGAGAGAGAGAGGCGAGAGAGACCGGGAACACTTGAGCTGACTAGTTCAAATGTAAACAGTAACAGTGTAAAGGCTTGATAACAGTCACAATTCATATCATAATGAATTACTGAAGTATTGTAATTAATAATAGTTATAATGGTCAAAGTTGTTGTATTGCATTTCCAGGGTAGAGATATCTGACATGAGAGAGAGAAAGAGAGAGACTATGGGAGTACAAAGTGACATTCGAGGCAGATTCGTCTCCCGCAGGCATTTGGAAATGGTTTCATTATACATAATATTGGACATAATATGTCACCAAATGAGCCTGGAAAGGTTAAGCTTTAAGTCATGCTACTGACATAGAGCAGCTCAGATCCCTCTTAGGTATGTCAACAGTAGCCAGATGATAAGTGTCACAGCAGACAGAAACCTTAGAAGTGGCCTCAGGTCCACAGGGAGTTTGCAATACAATGTACAGAAGCTGCAGATCAGATTACACATCTCAATACAAGCAATGGAGGCGAACGGAGAGTCAACATCAGGCTCGATGTTACACGCATGTTCTCATTATCACTCTTAGAGTGAAGAAAATTACACATGTGTTTTTTATATGGGATAGACCATTGCTGAGAGAAGATTATTAGCCAGGTTACATGAAGGAGGGACCGGGAGGATTTTTAATTCTGCTTCAGTTAGGCTCTGTCCCTTTGTCCGTGCATCTGTTTAACACTGAAGTCCAGAGGAAGATTTATGTGTCTTGACAAGTCCTCACTGGACTACGCTAGAAACTTGTATGGAAAGTCTCCAAAGGAGACCTAGTGTTTCTGGTTGGAATTTGGTCCTTAACAAAATGTCTTGAAAACAAATTGTCAAATTGACTGTGCATTTAGACCCCTCCCCCTGAACACTGATTGTCCCAACAGGGATTTACGAGGGTAACTAGGCACCACAGGCCTCATACTAAAAGCAATGTGCATGGAGCTACACAAACAATGATACTGTGAACCGTGTGAATATAGGAAGGTTGTGTGGTTTTAGTCCCACAAACATAAGAGCAAAATTTAACCGTGTATTAATTATTATTAATATGTTAAACTGCTAAAAACTGGCAACAAACAGGTACATTTTAGAATTTTTTTATTTTAGCTGGCAATTATTTGAGTGTAAATTAAAGCTGAGCAAACTAAAATTATGTATGTGTTATGAAAGGAAGTATTTTTTTAAGTTGGCCAAACAATTATTTTTGTTTTATGTGAGCTTAAGAGCCAAACATGGTAGAATCAAATAGTCTCAACAAATTTATATTACCAGGACTTCTTTGCACTGCAATATAATAACAACTCTGTTTGTTTATTCCCATGCTTTCCATGTGTAGCTTTAGCAATTACTACAATCTGTATTGTAGCCATAAAGAGAATAATTAAGATCACTTTTACAAGATTCTCATTTTTAAAATGAATTTGTTAGACACATTACAAAAGTCAGGCAAAGTCATCTAAATTAGTTAACTTTAGCTTAATTAGGTACAAGATGGCCGACATGACGGCTCGATTGCCCCTTGGTGGCTGGCTGCAGAATAGGACATATATCCTGCCTCCTCCATGTTAGCAGACGGCCCAACCTAAAAAAAATCTTCACAGCTAATGTTAGGTAGTTATTTTAACACTGGTGTTCGTCCAAGTGTTCTTTTAACCAGTAAGTTTGTTTTTAAGTTATTTGATGCTATAAGGTGGGGTGAAAAGTCATGAGTGACAGCTTAGACAGACTGGAGATTGGTATCGTGTGTGTACCAGGGGGACTTTAATAACATGCTCCATCCCCCAATTGCTAGGACGTCATCAGTGCATGATGCAAGGGTCATTCCCGGCTAGTGGGAGGACGAATATGTCATTTATCTTTATTTAAGACCGGGTGGACTTTGAGTCAACGGTTGAACAAGAATTTATTGCGATGCACAACAGAGAAATAGATGGTGAATGTTTTAAGTCCTTTGGCGTTTTAGAGCCCCCTGTGATGTCATCAGGATTAGAGAGAATGTAGTATAGGAATTCCCCTCAGGGTCTAGACACTGGCGGTGATTAAGGATCCTGATAAGTTGATGATGACTCTGCTGAAGAATGAAGGATTGGGGTGGAGGCAGTTAACAGTGGATCGCTGAAATGACGGCTGACTGCCGAAGAGAGGAGAAGGGATTTAAACCGCATGATTGGCTGGAAGAGATTGTGGCAGAATCTGACTGGCCATTTAAAAACTCCCACAATCAGCTGATTAATAAGCAGAGAGGGGGTGAGAGAACTGTGATCGATTGAATGTGGGAAAGCTACGCTGAGCTTCATATAGAGTCGATGCTGAAACCTGAATTGCCCCACATAGAAAAAAGTGCTGCCCATGGATGCACTGTATGAATGTGTGATCATCAAGAATAGAAAAACTCTATGTGAATACAGAGCATTTACCGTTTACAGCTGATAAGCTCTGCTAGTCCCAGTTGTCATTTGAACTGACAGCCTCTATTCTCTCTGCGACAGTAAAGGCTGATACCTCCATGGTGTTGTTTGTTTCTGAGCTGCTGTGCTTGTCTACACCTCCAGGCTCGGCGTGTCCATTCTGATGAGGGTGTCTTAGAAATATTCTACCCTTTCTCCGCCTCATCTTGAGAGCAGAGGTCGCCCACATGCACAAGCCCTATAACATTATGCAAGAGATTAACTATCATCAGAAAACCTGTTAGAGACTGTAAACTACTTTACATTTAATTAACATTGTCTTTTCTTTCCCCCCTCTCCACCGTAGCGTAACCAGAACCTGACCATACTGTCGGAGGTGTCCCGACAACCTAAAGGGGCTGAGTGGCTGTGGCACCCCAAGGTGGTGGAGTTGTACAAGGTTGTTCTACAAAACAGCGACATTAGCTCCACCACCCGTGAGGCTGCCATTGGAGCTCTGCAAAACATCACCACAGGAGAGGCCTGGGTAGGCTCTTAACTATCACTGCTTTGAAATTGGATTCTTCAAGAGCAGACAGAGCAGATAAATGATGAGAACCGAATCTCGGTTCAGGCTGATGTGATATGTGTCCCTCTCTGCCAGTGGTCATCAGTGCTGAGTGGTGTGGTGCTGGAGCAGGAGAGGATGCTGCCCATCCTGCTGGATCTGTTAGACACCAACAATGAGATGGAGCTGAGACCTTTGACTGGCCTCCTGAGAAATCTGGCCAGACACTCTGCCAACAAAGACCAAATGGGTAAGACACCTTCAAATCATTCAAGGTCTTCCTGTCTTATGGGGCAACAAACTCTCTGGCTAACTGTAATCCATAAAATCAAAAACATTAATCTAACAACACAAAAATATTCAGTTCCTCCAGCTTTGAATCATTTTGCAAAATGAGAGCTCAGAGCGTTTTCTCCTACCACCATTTCCTCTTTGTCCTTGCAGCTAAGAACATGGTGAATGCTCTTGTGTCCAAGCTGCCATGTGATGGTTCACAGAAACATCCGTCCAGCGAGGTGGTGTCCAATATTTGTGGAGCACTCAATCACCTGGTCACCTGCAGTTCTGTGGCAGCACGAGACATCTCCTACTTCAACGGCCTGCCCAAACTGGTGGGCATTAAGACGTTCCATGATAACAGGTAGGACTGACTTCCACTACAATGTTAAAACTATCAGTGTCGTATAGTGAGAAAACAGAGCTGCTGCTTCAGAAAGCAGTGCAAAATATCATATATATATATATTATAATGTTATATAACTGTTTAATTGAATAACATTTTCCAGGCTCCTGATAATTAGTCAAGATTTTTAGGTTGCACAGTCTTTCAGTTACACCAAAACTTCAACATCCCAGTTTCCTGTTTACTTTCCATATTCTTGAACTGTTATTCCCCATTGGTCATTGGCCAGACAAAAACACAACATTTAGCCAATTATCGGCTTATTTATAGTGTTTATCAGTGAGTTTCTCCCCCCTCTACTGATCCTCTGGTATTTCCTCCTTGTTAATTCTCCTTGTTTCTCACTGTGTCTTGGTTTAGCTCTGGGAGTATAAAAGCTGCCAAAGCAGCCTCCACAGTGCTCTGCAACATGTTCCAGTACAACAAGCTGCACAAAGACTACAAACAGGTGAGAACCAGAGCTGCTGATAACAAACAAGTTTCCTTTGTTAAAGAGCTGGCTAAGCAGCAACAATAAGCTCCCTTCACTGGTTACCAGTGGCTGTCCGCATCCGTTTCAAAACAGTAGTACTTGCATTCCATGCTGTGAAAAGATTGGGTCCAGTCTACATCCAGGACATGATCAAACCTTACACTCCAGCCCGTCCACTCCGCTTTGCATCTACCAATCGGCTTGCTGCTCCCTCACTGCGAGCAAACCACCAAACAAAATCACAAATGTTTGCTGTCCTGGCTCCTAAATGGTGGAACGAGCTCCCCATTGACATCAGGGCAAAAGAAAGTCTACACATCTTCCGGCACAGATTAAAGACACATCTCTTCCGACTACACCTTGGTGAAAAAGATGATGTCTAATAACCAAAAAAAAAAGAAAAAGAATAAATTGTAAGCAAATCTTGGTTCAGGACAAAAGAGAAAAACAGGGGACAGCAACTATCTTATTATTTGATTAATGAGTAGATGTTATTACCTACTTACAATAGTTTCGTCTTCAGAATGTCAGTGGAAAAAAAGGTTTTCCAAGATGTCCCAGATCCCAAGGTAATGTCTTCAAAGTAGTCCACAGTCCTTAGAGGTTTGCTTTGTGTCTTTTCTCCTTCATCTATCCTGACTGATGATTTACTGTCACTAAACACATGCAGCATCGGTTAACTGCAGACTCTGTGCTGCCCCTAGGTGGGAGCGTTAGTGTGCATGGTTGTTGTTCCCATATGTCGTTCTTGCGATAGACTGGCGACATGTCCAGAGTGTTCTCTACCTCTTTCACAGTGTCAGCTGACTTGGCTTTAGGTCCCTGCAGCCCTCAAATGATAAGCAGTATAGATAATGGATGGACGGCTGTGTGTTAATGAACAGGGAGTGTACAGTTTATTTTTTGACAAAAAGCTGCCGGAACCAGCTAAATAAGGTTTTAGTCACGTTTAAGGACCAGACAGACAAAACTCACTAAAAGATGTTCAAACACACCTTAGAGCTAAAGGAACTGCAACACTGGGTGATTAGTTGCTGTGGGTTCACCACTTGGAGTGACCTCTTTCACATTACAAATAGTCATGTGCACCATTGTAAATGTATTGATTGCTCGCTCACCAAGACTTCAGTCAATAGAATTACAGTATACGTAAACTTTTTTCCATTTGAGCTTTGTATCAGAGATTTAAACATCAGCTTGGATTTGGAGGTAGGGCTCTGTGTCATAGCTCAGAAGTTTGCAACATGAAGTGTTTTAAATCTTGCAGATCTGCCACAGGAATGATGCACATTAGTGTTAACTTAAAAGTATTGTACACTAATCGTATTGCAGCAGAGTATGTTAAGTAAGAAGTACTGTGAGTGAAGGCTGTTCTCTCCCTCAGTGAGTCTGGTTCCTCACACCAGTGATTTGACTTTGTTTCATAGTCATGAGTGAAAGAGTCCATTCTGAAGAGTTTTCTGACGGTCACTGCATGCCTTTAGATTTTGTCCTGAGTGCTAGAGTCAGCCAAAACCTCATGAAGTGTTTTCAGTGATCTGAACAACACTGCTACTCTCATGTGAACTGACAGTCAACTAACTGAGTGGTTCAGGGTTACTTAAGTTGAAACCAGTTGGAAGCTACATCATTAGAATTGTTGGGCCCTTGGTGTTGTAAGACTGGCTTCCAAGACATTAACTTCCCCCATTATGTTCAGACAAGGGTCCTGTTTTCTTGCACAGCTGCTGTTCTTTCTGACTCACTTTCAAGTCTCAGATATTTATTTGTTTTCCTTCTGGTCCATGGCACCTTAGCAGTGACTCACTCCCTCACAGACAATTCAGTGAATGTGTTAGATAATGTTATTAAATGACGTTAATAGATAACATTATTACGCAACTCAGGGTGTCGACCAGTCACATTAGGGTAATAAAACATTAGTCAATACCTATGGCTGTAAATTAAAGTGAGAGTGTCCAGGAGTGTGCAGAGAGCTGAACCAAGGACAATCTGCAACAACCAATAAAGAGCAGCCTCAGGTCCTGTGGTGGCCAAAGGTTTCCGGACCCTCATTCAATGAATGCTCACATGTGGTTTCGGTCTACCAGGAGTATTGTACGAGTAAAATATTATTAATTAATTAAATTAGGTTAAATAATTAAGCATTTCTATACAGACTTACAGTCTCAGGATTTTGTAGGGGGCAGCGCCCTGTATTGACCAGCCACCACTGTCGTTACAGTATCGAGATATTTAGACGGGTACTGTATCAAAGTCATCATTTAAGTATTGACAACACTACACAATTGTGTACTGTCAAACTTAGCACTGAGCAACTGACCACAGCAGTTAAAGGCCCAGTGTAACTGATGTTTCTTAGTAATTTCCACTGAGCTTAGTACCTGGTTTATATACGTGAGGTCGTAGTTTACAGCCACACCTACAATGCAGGTGATTACACATCTGCAACCAGAAAGAAACCAATACATCAGAAACGCAGGTCAATCCCTATATTTGGGCTCAGACCTTGATGTTCCATGTGCTGGATAAATTACTATTTAAAAGATCACTCAGCAATAGAGCAAAAGTACAGAGGTTAAAAATGTTAGAGATGAGGAAAAAAATGGAAAACAAGATTAAATTAAACTTGATTAACTGCTAAAATTAAAAAATAGATGGTAAGATCAGAACTAGGAGAAAGAAAATGAAAATGTTTCTTGACGAGAGATTTAAAAGGGAGGTGTGGCAGTCGACCATGCCACGGGGTTCCCCTCACGCCAGCCAGAGACAAACCAGGCTAACCATTGCTTGTTTAGCATCTTTTATTAATCAAACTTAAACGTACACAAAACATGGAACTTAACAGGTCCAGCACTATTTGCTGGACCTTCAGCTTCCCCAGTCTCCAGTGTGTGTGTTCTCCCGAGTGTCTAGTGCGTTCTTCCGAGGCAGCTCTGCTGCCTCCTTTTAAAGTCTGAGGATCAATCAGCACAGGTGAGAGCTGTTAGCTGATTGATCCTCTGTGGTGCAGGTGAAGGTGCTCTCTCTGCCCCTTCACCTCCACAGGAGGTTTTTCCAAAGAGTGGCGGGTCCTGACAGAAAAGGCCTTTAGAAGTGAGGACCTCAGGTTACCTTCGGAACACATATGCTAAACATTTGACACACATTTGCTAAAGCTTAAATTAAATGATCTGAGTGATTTTACCTATTCTGTATTTGAAAATGATCAATTTCTTTGATCTGAAAAAGTATTTAAATCCAATCACATTTGAGGAAAAAGGCAAAGCTAGCTTTGTGGTATAGATTACACTCTTTGAATGTAGTGGAATTCATATGAATTTGTGATATTAATTTAACTAACTAAATATTGAATTCTGTTAAATGTTCTATTTATACTGATTTAATTCTTACTCATTGATACTCTACTCATCCCCCAAAGATTGATTACAGTATGTTCTGTTTGTGCTAGGAGACAATCAAATCTCAGCCCAGTGTTACAAACAGTTTTAAGATGCAGAACTAAAAATACCATTTCACTGTTAATATGGTGTTTTATGTTGCTACGTCTGAATGAAGGCGTGAGCAGGAAAATTGCGAGCGGAATGTGTGGGTGTTGGCTGACATTGTGCTCTGAACCTTTATCTCCACCAGATGTTTTTCTGGTGTATGTTTGCACACATCTGTTTTTTATCTTGACCTCTATTTCTCTCTTGCAATTGTTCCCATCCCTACCTCCTTCACTTTAGTCTTCTATCAATGCCTTATCCAGGGAAGCTTAGCTCTGCAAACACAAAATACCTTCACTGTAGCAGACTATAAATACATTGTAGATGTTCTTATCTGCGTTGGGGTGGCTCTCCCTCTCACACATTAGATAATCAGGGGTGATGAGGTTTTACTTTTGCTTCTTACTTTTTTCTTATTTACTCATAATTTCAGTTAACCAAGTCTTCACACTTGCAGTGATCTTGTAAAAGAGCAAAAAGATGATCCCTCACTTCAGGTGCTGTACAGCCAAGTTCTACCAGATGGTGAGGTGGAGAGTGCAGCCCGTGGCTACTTTTTCCAAGATGGCCTGTTGGTGAGAAAATGGGTTCCCCAGGGGGATTTTTTTGGGGGGATGAGATTGTGCAACTCGTCCTGCTCTCTTCATTACGTCTAACTGTTCTTCAGACTGCTCATGATGGTGTTGCAGGTCATTTGGGTGTGAGGAAAACCTATGACAGAGTTATGCAGCATTTCTACTGGCCACATTTGAAAAGCGACATTTCGGCCTTTATTAAAACTTGCCACACATGTCAGTTGACGTCGTGTGAAATCTAATGAATATTATGACATTTGAATTATGTCAAATCTATGAGGTGTTTTTAGAGTAGACAGGAGAAAGAATACTTGAAGAAACAACAAGTAAAAGTCAAAGGCATTTTCCCACAGCACAATGGGTTGTTTTTTTTAAATGAACTCAAATATCTGATAAAGAGTTAAAGTATAACTGGGAACATGTTTTCTCCAGGTTATGAAGATGATAAAAATCCAAAGTGAATGGCTAACAGGATTACAGCAGCCTGGACATGAACAAGCCAAGCAGCTCCTTTTATAGACAGGTATCTAATTGTTGCGGAAGAACTCGACCATAAAAAACTACGATTGTAGGATTTGAGAGATTTTATTAAACTAAAACCTTTATTTTTGTCTTACACAGTGACAACACACTGAATATTCTACTTCTGTCTGTCACTGCCTGTGTCTGGCTGGGGTTTTGTTGGGTTAGAGTTTTTGAGTGACCGCTCTCAGCAGGAATGAGGATCTGGCTGAGACAATGTGGGTTTTTCTCTCTTTTGCCTTCTGGGATGAATAAAAGAGGACTTTGGTTAGGTGGACCTGGCAGCCGCTGTTATGCTCCTCCTGTATACAGACGAAACAAAACACAACTGTCTCCACAGTCTGGGCTGTCTTCACAAGTCACAGAACAAACAAACGGCCCCAAAGCATTTCGAAAACCAGTGGACACGCTGCCAAGAGCTTTGCGGTGGGGTCAGCTGTGGCCTAGAGGTAAGAGAAGCAACTTGGGATAAGAGGTTACCGGTTTGATTCCCTGAAATGACTGGGACAGTGTGGGGGGGGGCAGTGCAGTGAATGATCCCCGGGCACTGCAGGTGCAACTACCCACCACTCCTAGTGTGTGTGTGTGTGTGGGGGGGGTGTATCCACTGCTCTCAGATGGCTTACATGCAGAGGTCACATTCCTTTGTGTGTAGAAAAAAAGTAAAGGCAAAATAAAGCATTCCTCTCAGGGCAAATCTTTCTCCTGTGAACTATGAGTTTATTTTGTTTGAGATTCTCTTTACAAAATGAATGTGTCCTCATCTTAAAAGATAGACTGACAAGACATGTTCTGAGTAAACCCCGAGAAGAGGACTGCAATGATTATTTGTGGGAGGTGTCTGCTCCTGGCATTAGTCACCACTAGGTGGCAGTACAAAGGGAATTCTTCAGGGGGATTATAAAGTGTAGTTGCTCTCTCTCACTATCAAATTATCAACAGATCATTTTAGGGTAAATTAAGATGATTACACAATACATTATTTTACATTCAGTTTCTGCCATTAGATCCCTTTCACATAAATCTCACACACTGGACGTTTAAATAAGCTGCACACGATTAAAGACCGAAATAAAGAGGTGAAAAGTATAAAGTGGGAAGGTCTCTCTCACTCGATGTGCTGTGCTGCACAGTAAAATGCAGGGAATGGTAGAAGACACAAATGTCTAACCCAATCACTGCATCAGTCTTTGGAACAACTCTTTTATTTTTTTTCCACCATACCTAGTATTTGTGTTGTTGCTTTGTGTTTTTCAGAAAGGATTTACCAGAAAGGACTTCACAGATGTCACCATCTAGACTGCCACATGTCACATGATTCCTTTCTGAGCTTCTGACCTCTGGATGACAGCGGCTGAGAGGAAAAGAAGAGGAACAGCTTCAGTGAGGAGTTCATCGAATTGTGACTGACAGGAAAAGACACAGGAAAAGAAAATTGGACTGGAAACAATGGAATCATGTACTTTAGGTTTGCCCTCTTTTAGGTGTTTCACCCCACAAAATATGCATTGTGTGCGCTAGGGTTTGACTGATGCATTTTCGACACTGACTCTATTTGTTTTGGATTGACGGAGCTGATTGCTAGCATAACAGTTTTAAAAACACATATATAATAAAACATATTTTCACCCAGAGGAGATGCCAGGTGCAAAACAAACCCCCCAAACCAGAAATTATATACATGGACATTTATTTTTGTATCATTAAGAGCAAACATGTAAAATAGATCAAAATGTTCAAAAAGGTTTCTAAGATTAACGACTGAATGACAGGTGCTCACAGTATGATGGTGAGGGCCATCGGCTTCTGATACAACAGCCCAGCTGTTTTGTCAGGGTTTGTCCTGGGTGGGTTTTTTTGCATAATATACTGCCCCCTGCTTGTTTGGAGTATTAATTTGACTCCAAAACAAGACTGAGGGAAGAGTTTTTTCTTTTTAAATCAATTTATTTGCATGTGTATAATTAAACACTGCATCACTAACATTAACAGAAAATATATTTACACAGAGCAGTAACAGTGTATGCAGTTTGTTGTAAACATGTGGAGATTAGTGTGGATGTTTCTGAATAATGATCCTGGTCCTGCCCCCTGACTCTGAGAATGTCCTGGTCATCATTTTACTTTGTCCAGGGGTTAATGACCAAACATCTGCAGAACTAGTACATGTCTATCAAACTTTTCAAAGAGGGCTCAGCATGTCACTGACTGAATCAGGAGCTTTTTACAGTGGAGCTCTCCTCATTAAGCTCTAAGAACACTTGTCAGCTGGGCTGTGATTTACAATTACTTTCTTTAAAAGAACAGAAACAATCATAACCTGATGGAAACGGTCGGCTGCTGAGAAACTGACCCTGTGTACAGTGGTTGTACTGTATGAACTAGTTTTATGCTGAACTGAATATAGAGTTTGGTTTAGCAACACTGAACGTTTGGCTGTGTGATGCATTCTCTTGCTGTTGTAAACACTTTGGGAGTCATTAGGCAAAACGTGAACTTCTTGTGAGTGACATAATTTCCACCCCTACATTTCAGCTGTACTTTGCCCTCAATAGCTAATCTTACCGCGCCAACATGCTAAACTAAGATAATCGACATAAGCATTTGATAAATATCAGCATGTTATCATTGTCACTGGGAGCCTGTTTGCATGTTGGTATTATCATTTAGCTCAAAGCACCTAAATGACCTCACCATTGGTGTGTGGTGCATTATACAGCTAGATGAGCAGAGCCGGAAAACCTACTACATTCTCAACTACCCCCATGCACACCGGTGCTATCTATCCACTGCTATTCATATGTCAGAGAGGGTTTAGGGCAGAGGATGTCGCACCTTGTTAAGACTTATGAGACAAATTATGATTTGTGAATATGGGCTATACAAGATTTGATTGATTGGTTGACTGATTCATTGAAACATCCCTGTTCTTGTGGACATTTGCACATTGTGAATGTTCACAATGTGCAAATGTCCACGAAATACAGCTTGACAAGCTTCAGCCTTTTGTCACGAGAAACTTCCACCAAAATGAATTGTTTGATGCAATTCCTGAGGCGATAGCCTATTGCGGCCAAAAGAGGGCAGTAAATACAAGATGGATTTAAAAACGTCTTGGAAAAACGCAAAGATCACCAAACACGAGTGAATGTTAAAGTGTCATTAGACTGCTGATAGTTGCTGATAGTTGAACTTTTACATGCATTCTCTTCCCCTCAGATCTGGGGCATCAAGCATGTCAAGCTGTACTGAGTAGATGTGTATAATAAAGTAGTTTAGCGAGAACAGGGTGGTTTGTGTGAATATGCAACATGTTTCAATTACCATCGCTTTTTAAAATGTATCTATTGTCTGTCTGTAATTTTGTAATCTAAATATGCAGACTTGTTTTCTGGTCATATGCTGTTGTTAGTTTGTTGTTGTGCTAATTTACTGCATTAAAGAAAGTAACCTTTTAGAGTTTGAATATTCCCTACAGGTTTTTTCAAAACAATGACTTTTATAGAAATTTGCTCCAGTGTTTCTGTAGATGAGAGGATCATCCCTGGCCTGTTGAGAGCAGAGGTCATCTCAGAGCTCACAGTCCAGCCCTCATGAAGACGGGCTGGTCCAGGGGAGTCTTATCTCAACAAGCCCTTTGATGATTTACGGCTGGCTTTATTGTCTGTAGCATTTCCTTTTGGAACATAAAATTTGTGCTCAGAATTGAAATAAATTTGTTGTTGTCAGTTTGTCTGAAGGTAAAGCTGAATACATAATAAATAAATGTTTTATTAGACAGTTTAACAACAGTATAAAGATTATGTGTTTGGGACAAAGGAGTTTTTTATATTCACGGATATCAGCAATGACTTGAGCTGATCCTGAGGATCAGCATTGGGGGCACTAAAATACCAGATACAAATCTAATCATTTTATTACAGTACACTGCTCTGAAGGAAAGTTTATGGGGTCATAAAATCCTGAAAACTGTAAACTTCAAACTAGGTTCAATCAGTGCTGCACAAAGAGCTACAGAGAACTGTGTAACAGCCAGGTGGAATTCTAAAAACACCCAAAAAAGGGCACAATATTTAAACAGCTTCAGTCCTTAGTGAAAAGATAGCCCTCCTTTCAGTCCAATAAACGAGTCACACAAGCTTATATCCTATACGTCAAGTATGAGAGGTAGATTTTTCTGTATGAAAGAAAGCATCTTCTAGTCTATGACATGGAGGACAGCCTGTCAACAATTGTGCTGGACGCACTGAGGTACTTGTGTGCTACATGGGTAAGAGCAGGGCCTGGTTTGCTTTCCAGTCGTTTCTGGAAAGCAAACCAGTTTCAATCCCTTTCTGACACTTTAAAAAAACCTCCACACCACACACGTTAATGCCTCTTTTATGCTTACCGAATTGATGGCGCCTTACATGTCATCACATCCCACGTAAAGCGTATAGCCAAAAAAACTGACTCATCTTGTCTCATTCCAAGCGTCATCTTATCGGTTTGTCATATCAGCAGAAATAATCATTTTGGGCCGATGCCGATATTATCGTGCATCCAAGAAAACATCTGGAATCAGCATTTGTCCTGAAGACAACGTAATGCCGCTCAGAGGACATATTACATTATAACACGAGGGCTCAAGCTCTCGGAAAGTGACGAGCACCACAAGCACCACAGGAAACCATGGTCAGGAACTTACATATAGCACCTTTAAGTTGTGTGTAAGAAGCTAATAACATCATAGTATTCAATCAATATTAGCATTGTTTATTAGGATTAGGATATTAGAGCATGACAAGTTCTGTTGTATGTTACCTGATAACTTTAATCAACTATATTTCCAACATTAACAGCAAAGCAAAACAGCTACGCAAATTAAGAAGGAGGGAATTGAATCACACCATGAAGAGTTTATATGTTAACATTCTCATCTATTCCAGATTTAAATGTATGACTTTTTCACTTCTACACCAAATGGATGGAGGGAGGCTGCTCATGCTGATCTTTGCTGCCCTCTCGAGGTAGTGCTACTACAGGCAATGAAGTCCCACATTACCATTAGTTTCCATCCCACTCAGGGACAGTCACTGATCTTATTAAGGCCTATATCTAGACTGGACTGAATGATAAACAAAGTAAAACATTTAGCCTTGCAAGAAAGACCTTGCAGTAGCATTTTTTAAAAATAGAAATCACGACCTTCCTGACAGTTATCAGTCCAATCCATCCTGTTCCCTTCTTTGAGCACATTCAGTGCTTTCCTTCATCAAACTCTGGAGCTGCAGGGTCTTTGCTAAACACACAGGTTGAAAGTTAAAGGAATCAGTCCACCTCTGCCTGTATGCAGGTATGGTACAAACCCCTGCTTTGTAAAGTATAGTCCAACGTGATATAACTGCCAAATGCAGAGGCATTGTGGGAAATGAGTGGGTAGATTCTGTATATCATACCTCTGCACAGTTGGCACACCACTTTTCATTGTAGAATGTGTCTAACATCATGGTAAAGGTAGTAATATGAAAGACCCCCACTTTTATTGCAGGCTGCTGATACCACACATTCTCACCTATCATCAAAAAACAGGTCAACAGAACAGCATGAGGAAGAAACACTGAGGAGCTGAACAGACAGAGAGAGAGAGACTGGAGCATCAGGGTCAAACATCCCAAAAACAGGATGTCACACAAGGCAAGTGATATCAAAATAAAACAAATCCAAAGAGTCACTTAAGAGAAGCAGATCTTAACACACATGCTTCTATATATTATTTAACAATGGACCTGACAGACATGACACCTCTGTGAGGAAAGGGAGTATGAGAAATGTAATTGCTGTACATCAATGACACAAGAAAATGTGCAGTATAAATAAATAAAACATTGTGGTTTTGTGTTGTGAAAATTGCTAAATGCATACATTTTATTATAATCATGATGATTATTTATCCTGTAAGGAAGAGGAAGTCAGAGGAAATAACAACAATGTTTAAATCACTGGCCGACCAGAGCAACTTTATCTCAAACTCAGACCCGATAGATGGTTAGCAGATGTAGCTATAGTCACTACGGTGACCTGCTTCCTGTCTTAGTGTCCAGCCTATAAGAATGGACTGTACCACACCACAATGAATTAGCCAACACTCACACCAAACAACCTCCATTTTCTTTTAAGAAAACTTTATTGACCACATTATCTCCAAGTGAGAGTATATTCACCATATTACTGAAGTGTTCAACAAAAGAAAGTTAAAGTTGTGGTTTACATGTTATATATACAACGAAAACCATGACAAAAATATTAAATAATGACCTGTGATACATTCAGGGACTAAATGTGAAAATACGTCCTGCTGTAGAGGCTTAATATTATTGACAAGAATTTATATTTTAACATTTTTGAGATGAAATTGTGGGTCTTGCAGTTATTGAGTTGGTTACTAAGTGGTGTGACATATTTGGTCTAAATGGATATCCTCAGCTCTTTACAAGTTAAACAAACTATTAGTTGAGTTATTTTTCAAAGCCCTGTGTAGATGACTAGACTGCTTATGATGTGCTGGGTGGCGTGGGTAACATGGTGCCATTCCCAAAACCAATATCTTTCTTCTCTGAGTCATATCAGGCTCCTACTTCTAGAGATTTTCGAATCCAAATGGAATCATGAGGTTGGCTTGATTGTAGATAGTTGTTTTATCGCCTTTCCTTTTATTCACAGTTCTCCATATGCCCAACTGGATTTGACTCACAGAACCAGACAGTGTGTTCTGTTCATTTTGGACCACAAGCCCCTTACCCTGAGATGAAACTAAACCGGAACGCAAGCCAGACTAAAAAGTAGATTTAAAACTGCTTTGTGCAAAATAATTTTCTTAAAACTAAGGCAGGCGTACAGAAGTCGGTGGTTATGTCTCTTGCGAAATATAAAGCATCTCTTGGCCACTGAACTACTTGTTAAGTACAAACCTTTCATAGCCCTTTCAATAAACTTTATCAATAGGTTTAGGATGAGCCATACATGTAGATCAAGTTTAGTATTCAGTATTTTACTTCATAGATTCTTTTTCTGCTTAATGTATAAATAATATTCCACTGTTGGTCTCTTGAAAACTGTTCATTCTGTTGACAAGTAAAAGTTGATGTTATGTTTATTTCAAATGAATTAAAAACACTAAGATGGGATGATTTTAAAACACTGTAAAGAATGATGTTTGAGTCCAGACAGCCCGCCCTATTCAGGTTGTATGGTGTGTTTATAATACATACAGTATATTGTGATATTATCACATTATACAATTATATATGGCATTCTGCTGTGGCTCATCAAGTCATTCACTACATCAGCAGAACCTCACAGTCTCTGACTTTAAACATCAGCACTCACAATGAGGAGAAATTCATCTTAAATAAAGTGACCTGACAGAGTCTATACCTATATGTACTAAACACATGCAGTGTACTGCACATAGCAGGAATTGATGACAGTATGTTTTTAATCCCTTTAAAAAAAAAAATCCATCGTCTTCATCATCATCCAAGTGAAGCACGTCGAAGTTTAGCTCCATCCAGTTCTGTCCTCTTTGGTCGTCCTCTTTGATAGATTTACTACAGTAGGTCCTGTGTGCTGGGTTTCTCAGTTTTTCAGGGTTTCATCTATAATATGAGTTTCTGACCCAGGATCTTGCGGTTGATCTCAGCCAAGGCCACAGAAAACACGAAGGCCTTCTCATCAGAGAGACCAGCGTAAATATCCACTTCCTTCTCTTGTTTCTCTGTGAACATAAGAAAACACAGTCAGTCACAGAAAATGTATTTATCTGATATTATCTTTAACTATGATCACACAGATCAAAATGAACCTACTTCAACTAGCGTGACACAGAAAAGTACATTACAGGGGGAATTAAGGACATGGAGGCAAATACACAATGAGAAGTGAAAGTGACAGGTGGAGGCCAGTGTTGTGGCCTGGTTATCAAAAGGATCAGCAGTCGTGGCAGCAGCTGTTTTTGAAGAAGCAAAATAAAGTGACTAGGAGGATCACGAGCTAAAACTGCAGGAGCTAAACCAGCTTGAACAAAACACCAACAGCTTGGTTTTACTGGCTCGGAACAATCACTGTGGGCTGAGTGGGTGTTCTGTAAAGAAATACTAACTACAATAAATTCAGACGTTTGGACCGCACTTGATGTTCTTCCCCACAGCACTGATGCAAGAAGGGAATTTACTTGAAGGCAACACAAACACACATGGAGGAGAGTGAATGTGACACAGAATGTGGTCATTCTGAACAGTAAAGACGAAAGATGAAGTCTGGAACTAAAAGTGGAGCTACTTCTGTCACATGGATGTGGTCTGAGTATAAAAAGTTTGAAACAAATAAGAAAAATGTAAAAAAAAAAGGCCTCACAACAGACTGAAAACACAACCAACCTCTTTTACACACAAGAATCCTGTCAGACAGTACTGAAAACTCCTATGGACGAGAGACACTAAACATACACTAGAGTCTGCAGGAGGCTTTTGCCAATGACACAACATGTGACAAAAAATTAAAGGACCCAATTCTACTTGGTGGAATACACGTTGGTAATCTGAGCTGCATCTACATAAACAATTCATACAGAATACAGAGGCTTCTTGAGCAATGAAGATACAGAATAACTGTTTCCTACTATTTTATTTCAGTCAATCTCTGCAACAGCTTGTAAAATATGTTTCATCACTTTAAGTCCGCCATGTCAGGTGTTTTAAATACACTTTATTTCTCATGATCGTCTCTGTACCAGCATTAAAGGTACAGTGTGTAGAATTTAGTGATATCAAGTGCTGAAGTTGCATGTTGCAGCTGAACACCCCTCTTCTCACCCTCTCCTTCCAAACATGAAAAAGAACCTGTGGTAGCTTCAGTTGTCATAAAAACTCAAAAGGTGTTTAGTTTGTCCAGTCTGGACTAATGTAAAAAACATGGTGGCCTCCATAGAGAGGGTCCCCTCCATGTAAATATAAAGTATTTAAATATAAAGGACCTTTTCTGGGGTAAAGAAAACTACAATTCATACAATTTAGATGAAATGAACTAGTGAAAACATCATGAGGATTATTCTACATTAATTTCCCTTTCACCTAAATCTTACACACTGGACCTTTAACTCAATTATCTCATTTTCAAAGAGCTAAATCATGACAAACAGATCTCCTCCATGTTTTCTGCATTACCGCCACCTGGTGGACTGGAGTGGAACATCAGTTGTTCCCACGTCAGCAGGAGAATTTGGCTCATACCTAACATTGTAGATCTGCATGAACTTGAACTGGGTGTGTGGCATCTTTACTGACTAGTTCGCAAAGTTTAGTACAGGCAGCAGTTATAGTTACATGTAAAATTCCATGACTGCAGGGGCTGGGACACAATCCTAACTTGTCCTCTGCACTAACTCCCAGCACAACCTCAAAGCACACAACACATTTCTGTTTTACAAGCATGGAGACAGACTTTCACACAAGAATAATGTTCAGGAAGAGAACACCACACAGAGGACAATTATGAAGAGAGCACAACAAGTAATATAAGCAAGTGAACTGTCCAGAGTGGAGAGAACCAGTGGTCAGACGTATGAACAATGCATAAACACAAAACCCAGACTTTTGATTTAACCTGTGTCACCAAACGTTGTGCATTCTTGAGACCAGTCGTACACATGGTCTATAAGAGCAAGGTGATGGTTGAAAGTAAGACACCTAAATGTATAGTAACACGTTGTTTATGTCTTTTTGTCAGTGTCATTGATTATGTTTAAGATCTATAAAGCAGCCTGTGAGATTTCAATCAAACATTTTTAAGATCAACTTTAAAAAACTCTGTCGGAGTGATGTATATTCTCACTTATTATTCAAGTTTTAGCCACAAATTCCAATCAAATATTATCCTCAACTGGTACCTTATACTTCCACTACTGAGCATTATAAATGTACCATTGTTGATCTCTCTGACATTCAGTAATGATGACAGAGATAATACTGTGATGGTATGAAAGCCATAAAATGCAGTCAGACCACTCCTGGCTCCAGACTCCCTCTTATCTTACCAGCCTGAAAGACACAGGTATCTTTTATATTTTCATCACACAGCTAAGCAGAGAGGCTTTAAGCTTAACATGGGGGAAATGCTCACTAACATGACATGATGAATTTAATAAGTTTAGCTAACACTGATATCACCTTTCTCCTCTTCCTGTTTCTTCAGCCCCACTGTTTTTGGTCTGCCCCGGCCCCTGCGGATTGGATCTGACTGGCTGTTGGTTCGGGATCGTCTCCTGTTCTCCATGTCACTGGTTAGAGGAGAGTCGATCCGCTCTCTGCGAATGCGCTCCGTCCTCCTACGTTTTAAGTCCCGCATCTCTAAAGAGGAAAATATGGTTAATGAAAAAAACAGACAGACGGAGGCACGGTGTAAGAAATTAACCCTGCTGCAGAGATCACGCGATTTTGTTTAAAGTGAGGCATCAGCTGTAAAGTGCCTTGAGATAATGTATATTATGGCGCCATACAAATAAAATTGAATTTTGTCATCTACATATTTGTTAGCTCATTAGCAACCATTAGACAACAGCTAACGTGAGCATTCTATCACTTCAAAGCAAACATTAGCGTTATGTAATACAATGGGAAGGGTTTTTTTTTTATAACATCTTGTGAAATTGATATTATGAAGAATTGACAAGAGCAGGGGAGGATGCACACAGTATTAGTATGGTGTTCCTAATAAAGTGCAGAGCTGTATATGTGTGTGTGCATGTGTGACAACAAAACACACAGTCTGAGTTATAAAGACCAATGATAATGAGAAGAACACTGAGTCCTGCAGCACGTGTCGCCCACACGGCCCATATTGTTCAGTTTTGTGTCATGTCGAGTTCAGTAGAGACATCAGTCTGCCTCTCTCACCAGTATGAAGAAACACGGTGTGGCCTTGTTAACTCTGTGTTGTTCTATTTAACTACAAATGTGTTTTTGTGAAAGTAGCAGTTTGCTCTACATCAGAAGCATCATCATCAAAACCAGGAATTATGTGCTTATAAAGTGCAGTGCAGGGATCATTATATATGAATGAACACTGCACAGATGACAGCACTAGAAAAATGTAATAAACTTTCTTACAGCCACACACTAGAATAATGAAGCAAGTGGTTTTCACACAAAGTCAAACTGAATTTGCCGACATAATAAAGAGCTTTGTTCCAGCTGAGTCTTACCTGCTATGGCTGGAGAGCGCTCTAACTTGGCATTTAGCAGTTTTCTGCTAATAAACACATACCCACACGGGCAGGATTTGCACGCAACTGGAATCTTGGGAGAAACAAACAGGAAACATTAAGATTTAATCTCTGTGACGTTCTGCACATACAGAAGACAGGGATTTTCCACCAGTTAAATTATACATGCAGATACATGCGGAGCAGTATCATCCAGGGGATTTCAACATTATGTTCCTTAGACTCCTGGGCAGTTTTGTACTAGCCTACTGTAGCAGAGTTAAAGTGTTACCATAGTTTCTTACATACACTTCATCAGAAAGAATTGATAGAAAATTGTTGGCTATCCGAGAAAGAAAGGATTTGTGATTTAAGTGTTTAATTCTGATCTTAGTGACTGACCCAAATTATGTTTTGCACTTCAAACCATTACCAGCTTGCGCTCCATTATAAACACAGTCACACAAAAATACAATGCAGCTAACAACACAGACGCAATGATTACTGCAGTCAATGATCTAACTCGAGTTTTAATTCTCTGCAGAGAGCTGCTGATTAGTTTATACTTTGCTTGATGAGGCTCTCTGTTCCAACCCGAGCAAGTTCAAGGTTCATTAGAATAACAAAATGCTTTTGCACTGGTTGTTCTCCAGCTGTTAATACCACTCAGAAATGTCCCACGCCCAGGGGCACAAGAACTCTACACATTGGATTTCTTTCCAGACCCTGTGCTGCTATGTGATATACATTTAGACATCTCATCCACATCAACACTATACACTCAAAGAAAACAACTGTAATACTAGAAAGGCACTCAGTAGAGCTCATACCTCTGAATATGTTGAAACACACCCTGTTTTGCAATGTAGCTGAAACTGGAAAATAAAAATCCTGGATCCACACTAACTGAATCTTCCCTTCGACCAAGTGCCATGCTAATCTGTTCTTTTTGTCTGACATGCATACGTCCTGTCGTCAATCACCTTTGTGGGCTACGTCTATCCGAATGAATGAAAAAAAAAAAATTGCCAACTTCATTTTGATTTCATTGCCACTGTAATATCATTATGGTTTCAATATTAGTATGACCAACTTCAGACGTAGTACACAAAAACAGTTTGAATATGAACTTCCTCTTCGTTAAAACTACATCGTGCGAAGGTCCAGACCAATCAAGGTAGATGCAAAAGCATCCCTTGTGTCTGATTAACCTCAAACAGAACAAGTTCATACACCGGTTCTGAAGAGCCACAGTGGAAGGCAAAATGATAGGGACATCATTTCAGGTAAAGTCTGAGCATATTTTCAGAACGTCTCCTCTGAAAGGCCTTCATAGTGCTGCACTCAGCTTGTTCATGACAGATGTCAGAAATAGTTGTGTCAAGAATGAAAGCGAGGGGAGGGTTCAAAGCTGGATCCCCTCTCACCTTTGCACAACTAAGAAAACATGAAGTGGAAGTGAAGCCCCATTGCTGGTTTAGTTGGAACAGGTGAGGAAAAACAGGTAATGCAACACGAAATGTTTGCTGCCTCCGAACTCGGCCACTTCCAACCTCTGCAGCCCGTGTGTAGTTGTATATCGCCCTGTGAGTCTGAGCTCTGTCAGTCGAGGAGCAGCTTTCTGACCTTGCACAGAAGTTTGTGACAATCATTTCTAATAAACTTCTGTGAAAATAGATGGCTGCCAACAGTCCATGTATCCACAGAGCACTGATAGGAGCAGGAGCAGCTCTAGAAGAGATGGCAATATTTCTCTCCTGAAGTTCAGGCTAAACGCATGTTCTGTTACCTCTGCCAGGGAGGTTGTGTTGTCACCCCTCTCTGTTTGTTGTGTCCATTTTGGTGCAGGTTGATTGAATGTAAGGGGACTGTTGGACCTTGGCGGAGGTATGAGCTCTGAGTGTTATTCTAGTTCAAACTTTTGTTTGTTGCTTTGGGCCATGAGTCAATAAAATGCTACTCTGAACCACACACGTGGAAGAGACACAGTAGGTCTACTGTACACAACAACAATAAGAACAACCTCTGATTGGGTTATCACCCCACACAGGCTTTGACTAAAGAGACAATACCTAACACATATGTCAGATTATGCAACTCCATCAGGAGGCACAACTACTGACATTTACTCACATATACCTGCTTCGATGTTTGAATTGCAGTTTAAAGTGATGTATTAAACCTTAAAAACACAACAATAATAACATCCTCCTCAGAACTATTACAACCATCATTAAGATTGTTCACCTGACACATTTGCTAGTCAGAGGTACACTTATATTATTTCAGATCCTGGTTCCAACTTCAACACCATTTATCCACTTGTCATGGACAATTGCACGTGTGACTTTCTGGTTAATAGATAGGAAGTGTCTGAAAAGATAATGTACAGCAATACACCTCAGGTTTTAAATCTCCACGATAGCTGACTACTTCAAGCCATTGGTGGCAGATTGCACCCAGACATTTTTTTCAATCTGGCGATTCATTCAACATGTTACAAATGTGCAATGTATCAAATGCAAGCATTGCATGTGCTGGGCAGCAGAGGGTCACAACAGTGCGTCTGACTGTGTTGCAGGGAGAGAGACAGGGGCTGAGCGGAGCAGCAGTTAAGTTGCTGAGCCTCAGGTCTCTGATACTGAACCCTCCATTTCCGTCCGAGCAGCCATGAGCACCTTTAACGATCCACACCACATCCCCCCCCCCACGAGCAGGGACGCTCGCTCTCTCACCTGTTGGTCGCACTCTGGACAAGATTTAGTAGCCATTTTGACTTTCTTTGTTTTATTAGCCGACATAGTCCGTTTCCTGCGGCGGCGCGCCGACACTTCTACGCGAGCTGGAAGTTGTGTCTGCTGGCTCGCGCACGGTGCTCCGCGGCTCGTCCCGACGTCCACGGCCCGGCAGGACGCACGCAGAGGCGGACACACGCGGGGAGACGACGCTTGTTGACGGCTAACCTGTAAATCAGCTCATATCTGAGACACGCTACACTATTATTTCACTCAGGCTGCGGGCATGCGCACTCGCTCCCGCTGAGCCGCGTTCACGGCCCGTGCGGGAAACCAAATCACGGCAGTTTTCGCACTCAGGTTCGGTCCTCGTGTTGCGATCACGAGAGAAACATCCCACATACAAATATGAGATGATAATAGTAATGATCACACTGCTCAGCACTGACGTGTGACCACAGCAGGGTTTGAGGCCATGTGTTGTCCTGCGTCCAGACCTGTACCCACACACAGCGATACTCTGAGAGAATAAATATCGTATTACTACAGTGTCCATAGTGAAATCAAACACATTTCTGTCCATAGGTCTCGAGTTGTGTGTTATCCACTCAAATATTCCATATCCGCGTTGTTACGTAGAGCTGAAGCATTTGGTTATAGGTCTGTTTGTTCTCTTTAAATCTCATAACTGTCTTCAACTTTGTGTAATATGTAAACCTCACATTTTAGTCTGTTGTGTCTCTGCAGCCCTGCTGTCCACATTCGTCTTACACATTTTGATTAAAAAAAAAAAAAAAACTTGTTTATGACTGCCCAGGAAACAATTTTCGATTCGCGTATGTTCGTGAACGCACCCTATGCTAACTCAGGAAGGACGTCCTAATGCTGCTGCAGCTTCTTTAAAGGTCCAGGGTGGAAGATTTAGGTGAAAGGGATTGTTGGCAGGAATTTAATATAAAATAATCCTAGTGATGTTTTCACTGGTGTGTTTCATCTAAATTGAATTAAGTATGAATTGTTGTTTCTTTACCATAGAATGAACCCTTTAAATTTAAAAACTTTATATTTACATGGAGGGGGGTCCTCTCTGTGGAGGCCGCCATGTTTTTTTACTGTCGTCCAAACTGGACAAACTAAAACCTTTTGAGTTTTCATGACAACTGAAGTTCACCACAGGTTCTATTTCATGTTAGTGAGGATGAGATGAGGAGCATTCAGCTGCAACATGAAACCTCACCTCTAGATGTCACTAACACACTGAGCCTTCAAAGGTCGCAACACTCAAGTGAGCCATCATGGAACCATCATGGAATGTTAGAGGGCCTGGGTTCCGTATACCTTGCATATACAGTATGTTATTATTATTTAATTTCCCTCTATCCATAAGACTTCCCAGGAAGCAATTAGGAAGCAACCCATTAACATTTAGCAAATGTTCACCCTGAAGTTTTCTTTATGAGAACCCATAGACTGTATAGGAGTGCTTAAAAAACAGAAAGCTTTAAGAACCATCAGAGAA